GCAGATAAATTTACTACTGTTGCACTGAATGATTTTGTTGTTTCATTCAACTGAGTTACAAAACTAATGACATCTTACTGCGTGCTGAAGAAAGTAACCACCCTCAGCAATTCTCAGCAAGTATTGCCAACTTGACAGTTTTATAGAAATGGATGATATTAATATGAGTGAATAAAAATATTCTTAAGAACAGAAACTGTTAAGAAAATGCAGTGAGAAGAGTAGGATAAACACAAGAGAAAACCGAAGCGGAAAATCATGTGTTATCAGCCACTGAAGAAAGATTTCCGCAGTTGATGCCCATCTCATGAAACCTTTTTTCGTTTGTTCATGGCAAGTCAGATTTTTGGGTGCTGCCGCATTGCTTCTAAAAAAACTCATCCAGGTTCTTTGAAGCAGCTGTTTTTCTGGTGCTGTTACCCCTATGTCAAGTATTAATTCTCCCTTAAATAATAACAGAAATATCTAGGCCATTGTAAAGCGTGCTGATTTTGAAACCAGGCAACAATTCTTGGATGTTTAAAAAAAAAAAATTTTAAAAACCAACCAACCAAACAAAAAAACCCTGACATTGCTGTGGTTGAATTTTATTAGCATCCTTGGGACCACACCTATCCTAGGTAATGAATGTCCTGAATTTTCAAAGACACAGAAAGCATCCAACAGGTTCTTTGTACTCATGCAGTAAGCTGATGTCCTCTTTATTCCCTAGAGGAAAGGTATCAAAGATAAGAATACACCAAAATTTTTCTCAATGTCCAAACTTAGGTAAGCTAAGCTCCCATTTCCCCAAGGAACAAACTTCCTCTCTAAGTAGATCAACATCAGCTTCTCCTTACCTAACACTGCAGACTTTAAAGAACAGAATCTGCTTTCTCCAACCACTACAGAAGGAACATTCTTGCACGGAGCAGTAAGCAACTTTTGCACCCGTTCTTGCTTGTTCTCCTGTATCACGGGTATTGCTTGTACATCTCCTAAAGAAATCTTTAGATTACCATCCATGTTGTTACCACTCAACAATGAACCAGAGAAGCATACCTCCTCCTAACCTCCTCTTCCTGAAGAGCCTGGTGACTGAAGTACTCATAGGGAACATGGGGGCCCCTGAACTACCTAAATGAAACCAGGAACGTAAATCCTTAATTCCTGACACCCTCATCACTGAATTAAAGAATTTACCTCTGTCTCTCACCATCTCCTCCTGGCGCTGCTTCAGTCATTGTATATATGACTAAATAATAAAATGAACTGAGAAGCGCCTGACTCTACAGAGAGTGAATGAGACATTTACGTAAAACGTAGAAGAGACAGATTAAAATTCCTCTTCTAATTTAAATTTCTTTATTTATATAATTGACATTTATTTATTTATAAAAAAACTGGAATTGCTTCAGTGTGGTATTATCATCAAAAGTGGAACAGTTCCTCATTCCCAGAGGAGGGTCTTGAACTTCAGCCTCTCACACATCAGATGACTGGTTCTGTAAAAATCAGTATTTCCCACTGCAGAAAGTTTCAGTAGAAAAGTTCTATTTTAACAAAACAACAAAGCTATGCAATATTTATTTCATACCGTATTTATAGGAAATTGCCATCTTTGTAATTTTATATAGCTCTATAGTATGTATTTTTTATAATTTTAATTAAGCCTTTCTTGCTGCCGTTCTGCTTTACAGTATCACATTTGCCTTTTTATACTTGTTTTTCTAAAGTAGATCTTCTCCTACCGTGTTTTAATGTATTTACACATATCTGTCTCTCACATTCTATACTTTTCTCCCTCCTCCTTTTCCCACAATCTGTTATCTATCTTGTCGCTTGTTTGTTCTCCTCTTCTTTTGTATTGCAAAGTCTGTTTTACATGATCAAGCTTGAATTTCCGAATTAACACATTAATCTTACCTCTTCACATAAAACCTTGAAAACTACTCCCAACACCTATTACACAAAAGATTGAATCTACACAACACAATTTGATATAAAATATGGAAGGAGAAGTATTACCTACAGGAACCACCAAGATAAAAAGAAAAAAAATACATTTCTAGCTACTTGAATTCCCACCAGGATATTTCTCCTTGGATCTTTTCTTTCCAATGTGTATCAGCCCCAAGCCACTACAAGCATGATAAATTTTAAGCCTTTACATTGCTCCCTTATTCCATACATACTTCAAGAGAAAAGTTTTTTATTTTTTTCCTTGAAAGTGTTGTACCAGAGAGAAATAGTTTCTTTTCTTCCCTTAACCTCCTGGTTAGGAAAGCAGTATCAGTTCATCCCGCTCAATCCACTGCTCACTGCTAACTCCAGCTTTTGCTTCCCTGTTTTCAGTTTTTCCAAGAAAGGAACCGAAACACACTTGTGGTAGTCTCATCACTCTCCACAGAGAAAAACAGTAGAGAAGAAGATACTGTTTTGACCTACCTAGAGGGTTTTTTTCCTTTGTTTGTCTGTTTGGTTTTGTTTTAAGGAAAGCAGAGGCAATATTTCTGAACTAGTTTCTGCACAAGAGAGATTTAAGCGCTACTTTTGCAATTTTAAAATTTTTTCTACAAATGAAAACCTAGTCTCCAGCAACTGTTTTTAAGCTACCTGCATATGTTTCACACTCACAACAGAGCAGTAGAATTTTCAAATCCTAGATACTATTATTCACTTCAAATTCACATCGTTTATTGGAAAAAAAAACCCCAAATCCATGTTCTCGTGTCATCAACACTATAATCTTATGCTTTGATAAGGTCTCTGCTGGTTTCATTCAAGGATGAGACCTCTTCTAAGAAGAAATACTGGAAGATCAAGGAGAATAATTCCTTAATTCAAACTAGCAACGCTGCAGGAGGAGTTATCACAATTTCCATTCAGGTGGTTTACTGTCTAGGCCAGTTATTTTCATTTCATAAGAGACAGAAGTGCCTAAATCAGCTAAAGGATTGAGCACTAGAAAACCCAGAAAAGGATGCAATTTTATTATTATTAACTAAAATTGGAGTCCTTATACTCACCCCACCATAATTTCCTGTATTTGAAGAGTAATTTATAGGATCTGTACATGAAGTAGACGTGGTATCAGCATGTAACTATCTGTATTCTCTTTTGAGTCATAACATAATGATTCAAAATACCTTCAGTGGGGTTTGACTTCCATAAAATATTGCCTTGTCTAACCAGATAACTATCCAATTCCCACTACAGTGATTACAGGATACAAAAAACAGCAATACATTTAATATAATAAAACTGAATATGATCTAATCTTCATTTTGCATGAAAAAAAAAAATTGCAAATAGTATGTGTTCTAAACATGTAGTACATTTACCAGAATTTTAAGATGCACATAAAGGGAGAGTGGCTTTTACAGTAGCTCGAATTACTCTACTAAAGAGAACTATGGATTTAAAAAACATGCTAAGAAAGAAAGAATTCAAAAGATAAGAGCACAGAGTCTGATGTCCCAATGTGATCAAATGTTTACATTTTTTTAAAAGACATTTTCTCATCAAAGTCTTTGGTTTTTTTCCTGTGCTTTTTAAAGAAGCCTTCAAAATGCAGAAACACATAATCTGTTTTTAAGGATAATAACCATGTGAGGGAACAGAGGTCTGATCTCTGTCACACTGGCACAATCATTGCATAAAATAAGAAGTAACAAAACAGGAAAAGGAACTGTAACTCTCCTCTACTAGAAATAGTCTCCTAAAGGTTATCTGTTGATTTAGGGATAGTATCCCAGTTTTAAACGCTCAGCCTCTCATGTTAGCTAAGACAGCAGCGTATCTGGGAAGGAACAAAAATGCAAGCATGTAAGCATCGCTATTAAAATTTAAGTAGCTACAGTTCTTCATATTTCTTGGGAAAGGTTTTGGAACTTGCACTCTAGAAATTAACCTCCTACGCTGGACCTACCATGCACCTATATTACATTCAATAATCCTAACATATTTTTTCTTCTGCCTCTGAGTCTGGATTTAAAATGAACAAAAACTTTATGTTAACAGAAGGCAAGCATCACTTTCACAAGACCAGGTTTCTTTTTCACATAAAGCGTAGTCTGGTGCTTTGTTAGTGGATTATACAAACCAAAAATAACTTAATGTCTCAATGTTGTAATATGTTTTCTTTCTTTGCTTTATGAAAAAAAAAAAAATGTTTGAAGAGAAACACCTTCTATACTGAATACTTTAAAGCCAGCTGCAAAAAATTCAACTTCATTTAGCAAAACATGTAATAATCACAGTGACAACACTGATATTTACAGTAGAATATTAGCTTAACTTGGTAAATATAATAGAAAGAGTGACTCTTAAGTATGCTTCTCTAATGTTTACTACAGGAAGTTTCACTTAGGTACCAGGATACAAAAGATTAACTATACCTACAAAGTTAAAAACATTACAGAAATTGTGCATTGTCTTTCACATAGATGTAAATGTAACAAAACAGTTTCCATAAAATGTAAATTTTTTTTACTGTCACGTATTGATAGGTGAATCAGAATGAATCTGTATTCAGTGCAAAATTGAAGACTGTGCCTCTAATAAATTCAGTACAAGCCTAGCAAAAAAATCTTGCTGTTATCATGAAAGCTCATGTTATCACGAGATTACAAAAGACATTGATGAGAATACGTACAAATTTAATGAAATGTAAAAGAAAACACTTCAAGTAATAGCAAATTTCTCTAGTGCCTTATATTGCATCTCATCACCTACTAAAGGCTCTTGTCACGTTAGCTGCCATATTAAACTACATGGCAGTGCCGCCACAACAACATGACATACAACTAAATTTTTTTTTACTGTAAGAGAGAAACTTGGTTCCATTAGAAAAATGTTTTGAAAAAAACCAAGCAAGTATTCCCATCATAAATAAAATGATCATATAGGGAAACACTGAACACTGTTTAACAAATTAAAACATCACAGATTTAGAGCTCTTTATACACAGGTACACATACACATGCACACACAACTGTACGTACATCACTTTCACTTACCTCAGTAGCTCTCTTTATATATGGTATCTGGGTGCCACTGTCCAGGTCTTCATTAATTATAAGTCTCCTAGCCCACTGACCTGCTCTGACAACACCATTACCGTGAATTAGGACCAACAGCTTGTCAGGATTTGTTAATGCATCTTCACTCATAAAGATAAAGCTCTTTGGTTCACTCTCAGTTGCATCAACCTGCAATTACAGACAACACACACTTTCATGGATCAATAAAATTTTTTAAAAGGACATCTGTAGTTATAAAGTTAGCAACCAAATCAGTATAAAAACTTTCACCATTTAACAACTATTTGTATGCATATTATAAGGACTAATGCGTGCCTAGTACTAAATAAAAATAAAACAAAAGCTAGTATCTGTGCAATGTAACTTTGAAACATAAAAATATACCACAGTTTAGAACAGTAATCCAAGGGAGATTTAAAGTAAAAAAAAAGTATGCTAAAGCTTTGAAACATCAGTTATTTACAGAAATTTACTGGCAAAAGAGAAACTCCATAAAATAACAAGGGGGGGGTGGGATCAAGTAATTTGTCACCTCTGTTATGCCTGAAGCAACAGTGAAAGTCTTGCATAGTATGAAAAAAATCCTAGAGAGTTCCATCTCAGCCACCTCATCATAAATACCCAATAAGCCACGTATGAACCAGTACTGTACATTTGTCTATTACAAATTTAATAGGATAGGCCTAATAAAATATGGAAATCCAGTCTGGGTCTAAATAATGGCTTCATTAAGAGTCCCACACTTGGGTCAATGCTTAGCTACTTTGCTATAGCAAAAGATCAACAACCAGCTTTGATATTCAGTAAACCATATTCTAATTCCAAGTTTTGTCCTTACTCCAGAGAGTGAAGTAGCGCTTCTTGTTCAATAAAAACCGAAGTTCTATAAAACAGGTCTACACTTGGTTTAGCAAGCCTGGCTCAAGGCAAAATAACTGTGCTGGTGTAAGCACCATGAGGGCAGAAAGAAACATCCCACCTACTCATTCTTCCCTTTCTACCATGTGAATACATACAAATGGAAGAACAGAACAGGTAAATCTCCCCGTCCTACTGTACTCCACACCCCATGACCCACACAGCCTAACTGTACAGCTGCTAGGAACAACCCTGGATTGTCCTATACTCCTCAATAGCAATGAAAAGGTCAGGATATGAGCCTGATGTTGACACAGGAGGAATGGCTATTTGGAATACGTCAGTTTTTCTCTGATATATGGGTGTGTATTCTTAATTACGCTTACTTTAGGAAAAGTTAATTCTTTTTTCCGGACTTTTTGTAATGCAAGTCCTACCTAATATTTTTTTAATTAAGTCAATGAGGCTACTTGAACACAAGGAATTCCTAACTGGAAGAATGGTCATGTCTCTCTTCCACATCTGCCATAGGGCTGAAGACCTTATACCCTGCTCCAAAATGATGTAATATCTCATGTGCCTCAGCCTGCACTTTCTACACCAGGAAACATGTTCACCTTCTCTCACACTTTGTGAGAAAACGGAAAACATTGTAAAAAAGTCAGACAACACTAAATCTCAGATAGTACTTGGCAAGATGTAATTGACTTTTGCACATAAACTGAATACTTACGATACTGTAATTAAGAAAAAAACACTGGGAGTTTGTATTTCAGGCAAAGATAAGCTGTATGTTTTAGTATTTATAAACTAAATTTTAATTTAATATTTAGGAAATACTAGCACTTAGCAATCATGTGTACTAGAAGTTACAACTAGTTCACACTTCTGCAAACACGTTAATTTTAAAAAGTTAAAAATATCTATCAAGATCATAAAAAATAACTCTTCATTCTCTTCCTCAAATAAATCACATTTGGAAACTTTTTCCAAGCTAATTTATCTTCAAACAGTAGTTATTCCTTAGATCAAGCTTTCACTAAACAATACACATGAAGGTCACTCCTGTGGACAGCCTTACTGTACTGGCAAATCAACGTAGAAAACCATTTAGTGCTAGATACACTGAGTCCGCATAGAATACTTTATATTTACTAGTCCCCTTCTCAACCTACTCATGAACACTTATTTCTGATCCTTTAAACACAAATTGAATAAACTCAGTAAAATGCTGAATGCGAACTTCAGTTAGTTTAATTTAACAATTTAACATCGTTATTCACATGCACTAACAATCTTCCAATAATCTGTAGCCAATAATGTCAAACCAATCTAAATTCTACTGATAATTTACAGTTTAAAAGTACTGCTTAAAGTTTCATTTTCCTTTTCTCAGATTCATTTTTCCAATGCATAACTATACCTTAAGGTTTATGAATGTAGGCAATTATGGTGAACTCTCTGAACACACTCTACATATATTATGACATTATTAAGGTTTTCAAACAGTGAATTAATTTTTCCATATGAGTTCTGTCTCCAATGAGCTATCACCTAATACAGTAGTACCAGTCTATAGAATACTCCAGGAGCATGCTAGTTAGTATTTTGCACAGTTCCTATCAATATATAGGGTAAGATCAAACTATACTTGAAATCTAATCTTCCTGACATTCATGATACCACTTCAACACTGACTCAGTTTTCAGTTCTTAGCCGTTACCAACCCAAGATGCATGAGACCTGACGAGGCTCTAGGGGTCTTTTATTCTGTACACTGGAAGTTTTTAAGTTTAAGACTGAACGTTAAATTTTTAAAGGGAAAAACACCCCACTAATATTTTTCTTATTCCAGTTAAGAAACACAATAAAAATTATGAGCCTAGAGCCTGCAAACAAGTGAAACAGGTGTCACTTGTGACTGGAGGAAAGAACACGGCAAATAAACGGAACTGAAACTGAAAAGACTCAAAAAGATTGTGAGAATTGTGAGCAGCTGGTAGAGAGAGAAAACTGCTCATTTGCGTTGCAAGATCAAAGTCTTCTGGTATGTGGTTCTACATAAAGCTCTCTAACTCACTTATGTTACAGTCTTCACAATATTGAATAACTTGATTTGTAATTTTGCACTCAAAATTTTAGAAAATGAAAACTGCTGATCAATACTACCAGCAGCTAATTAGCATTTGGTGATTACCACAACTACCTTAACACACATAAAACTGGTGGAATGTTTACAAAAACAAGCACAGACTGGACTTAGGTAACAAAATAGAGATAAGAAACATGCCATGGAGATAAGAGACCATTGTTTCTCAAAGAAAAATATTCTTGGCTGTCTAGTAGATCAAGAGAACTACTGAATGAAGTGTTACCTATTGAAGTGAAAGAGCAAAGCACTGGTAAGTTAGAAGATTCTGCAAAGTGAGACCTTTCAGTGCCGTTGTCAATAAAACATGTTAGTAATTATTTAAACTTCCATCTCAGGCCTTCCCAGAAGCTGTTAAAGATGCACTTAATTCAGAAGCACCCTCTATTTGTCCTCAACAGCTAAAGAACAGCAAAGATCAATCACTGATTATGCCATTAAAACTAGACAAATACAAAGACTTCATCTGGATAAAAAAATTGCAGTCTTCTTTACATTCATAATATAACCTTCAATGGAGCACAAAATGAGAAATTTAAAAGAAATAATTGAATGGCTTCTCCCTGAATATGAGTCTCTTCATTTAAATTTTCAAGTCCAGTAGTGTATGCTGAATATTAAGAGAACTACAATAATTTACAGTAACAATAATGTAATATTCATCTCAACCTCCCTGTGTAGGAAAAACTGTTCAGATTTATGTTTTGTCAGAGATGCTGACACAATAAAACAATGGGCGACCTTTCCTGATTTTCAAGCTGCTCTTATTTTCATATCTGCAAAGAAATTTACAAACAATTCTGTGCAAAACTGAAGCTGCCACCTGAGAAAGCAAAATAAAGACAGCAAGTTGGACTTTGCACTTGAGGTTGAAATTAAGAAAGATGAGAGAACATGAAATGCTGTCATCCTAAACCTTTGAAGCATAACATTTCAGTATACTGCTAAAATCATGCTGGGGGAAAAAAAAAAAAAAAAAGTACTCCATTTAACACAGTCCTGAAACACATTTCATATATTCAAACATCATTACACTGTCTACTTCATTATCAGCTGACAGAAAAAGGCCAATACGCCAACTTTCTGATCACTCGTGACGAAGTTCAGAAAAAACATGTTTTTGTATTCACCTCTAAAAAGTTCATACAATAAGGTCATATTCGTAAGAAGAGCCATCTTGGATAGATCAAGGTTCTGAGGTCCTATTTCTGACAACTGGCAGATTGCTTAGGGGAACAGTATGAGAACAGAGTGGTTATAGAGTGATTCTTCCCTGGTTTTGGCAACCAGTAACTTTGGAGCCTCCCAAGCCAGAGTTTGTAACTGGACAAGGATGTACAATAGTTCAATGCACCTATCCCACCTTAGTATTGTCAAATGTTTTCTTTAATGCATTTGTACCTTTCTCCATAATAGTATTCTGTGGCAATGAGTTCCACAATATAATTGGGACATATATGAAATAGTACTGCCTCTTTTTCAGTAGAGATCTCCTGCCTGATAATTTAAACTTGATGCCCCTTAGCTTCTCTATTATGAAAAAAGTGAAAAACCATTCCCTATTCATCTTCTCTACACCTTTCATGATTTTATAGATTTGTCATATTCCTTCCTCAGTCATCTATTTTCCAAGCTGAAGAATCTTTGTCTATTCTTTCTTTGTCTGAAAAGCATTTCATGTCTGTGATCATCCTTGTAACCCTCCTCTGTATTTTTTTTTTAATTCTTCATATCCTTTTTGATATGGTGTCCAGACTCCATGCAGTGTTCAAGATGGGGGCCCACATAATGAGTGGAATGACGATGTTTTTCTGTTTTGTTCTCAACACCTCATAATTCCTAACATCCTATTTGCTTTGAGGGTTTTTCACTGCCATTGAGCACTAACTGATGTTCTCAGAGAACTATTCACAATCACTCCAAGCTCTTTCCTGAATTGTAATAGCTCATTTAGAGGCCACCATTGTGTTTATAGAGTGAGTTATTTTCCCCATAATTTCACATTTACCAGAAGTGAATCTCATGTCTTTTATCATCCAATCATTCAGCGTCATGAAATAATTCCCCAACTCATCACAATCAGCTTTACATTTAAGTATTCTAAGTAATGTTAGAAAAAACAGCTAAGTTTGTTAGCTTCTCTTAATTCTTTTTTTCCTTTTATTCACAACCATGTCAGTACAGGCCTTAATAAAATGCACTGGTAACAACTTATTTAATCTGTAAAATATAAACACCTTTTTTTCTTTTTAACCAATTATTAACTCATAAGGGGACTCCCTCCTATGCCATGACAGTGTCTTTTTTAAAAGCATTTGGTAAGCCTGTTGACAGCTCGTTGGAAATCCACTTACCCTTTTACTGACAAGATCTTTCTTTTTCAAGTGATCTCTGACTCCTTCAATGAATTCTAGTAGGTTTTTTAAAAAGAAACCTCCACTGACTTTTCCCCCGATGTATTACTTCCTCCTGGTACACAGGAATCACTATGAATCACTCCTGGAGGCCTTTCAAAGACTATCACATTTACTCTTTTACCATTTCTCTGGTGAAAATAGCCGATTTCAGCAGTAAGTTACATACTAGTTGGTTGCTCTGCAGCTTCGTATTTGACTTCCTATAGTACCCTGGGCTTAAAAACCGTCTCATCCTGGAATTTGATTACTGTATGATATATCAATTTGTTCTAAGATCTCCTCTACTGATATGTCAAATTTCAGACAGTTCCTCAGAATTATATCCTGTTTAAAAAAATAAAATAATAATATTCAAGTGTGGAAACTGGACAAATAACATTGGAAATAACCATGTTCATTTTTCTCACTTAAGCTGAGGATTCCTTTTGCATGCAGCTCACCCATCAGCCTCATCAGCTCCCTTTTATTATTAGCTTTTACAGCTGTAACAAGCTCCTCAAATTCAGTTTTGGGTGATCTTGCTGTGATTTTATATGTAACTTGCCAGCATTTATATTTTTTTTTCTATTTTCCTCACTTGTACAGGACTTACTCTTTCTGCAAGCTGTCTTATTACTTCTATTAGCCTCCTTTACTAGTTTAAAATAGATTTCTTTCTGTTGTTACTTAGCAGTCTGTCAGTGGTGATTCAAACATAGCCTTTAGACAGATTTAATTTTTCACCTTCTACATACATTGTTTCATTCTTCTCATTTTTGTAGTCCTCTTCATAACCTATTTTTGACTGTAGTAAGGGCTTCCTACACATAATAGTCATTACTAAAGAATGGTGCTCATACCTTGTGCCAAATTTTCCACACTGCTCACAATTAAACAGCTGCATGTATTTTGTGAGTTCTTACTTTGCTCCAAAATGCAATTAAATTATGACACTTTGCAGAAGCTGGAAGTAATACATTTGAGAATAGCTTAAATGTACTACTGACAAACTACATCGGTACATCAGTGCTTACCACATGATTTATAAATAAGAGTAAATGCAGATTAATTCAACAGTGGGAGTTAGACAGGGCCATTCTTCTCCCAAGCCAGACACCCAAATCTCAAAGCTGTGCAGAAGAGTCCCTGCATGTGTGACAGTGGTGATGGAGGTGTTGTAATACTTACACCAAGTTTGTTCCTCTTCATTTTTTGAGGCTAACAGATCAGCCTTAGCACTGCATTACTTACATGCATATTGCTTTCTACAAAGCACATTCAAAGAAAGTTGTATAGCCTCAAAATTCAGGCGCTTTAAAGTTAATAATGACAGCTTCCTGGCTTGACAGAGAGAGGGTGACATGGCTTGAGTACGTCCTTTGACACATTACCTGTCTAGGAACATGGAAGTACTCCTTGGACCAAAACCTCCCCAACAGAGAAAACTAGTAGTGCAAAGAAGTTAGAGACAACGACGAGCACTGCACCAGGTAGACTGCCACCATGAACCCAATTCTCTTCTTTGTCTACACAGGGAAATCTGAAGCGGGGGAATGCTGTCTCAAGCAGTCTCGGGTCTGGGGGCATCAGCTGCTGCTGTCTCTCCAACTGCTCTGTGGAGCTTCTAGCACAGCTCCTTCTGCCCTGACCAGGAGACACTGGCAATGCCTGTGTCTTCGTTTCGGCTGGGATAGAGTTAATTTTCTTCCTAGCAGCTGGCACAGTGCTGTGGTTTGGATTTAGGATGAGAATAACGCTGATAACACACTGATGGTTTAGTTGTTGCTGAGCAGTGCTTACACTAGTCAAGGACTTTTCCGCTTCCCATGCTCTGCCAGGCGCACAAGAAACTGGGAGGGGGCACAGCCAGAATAGTTGATCCAAACTGACCAAAGGGCTATTCCATACCATATGATATCATGCTCAGTATAGAAACTGGGGGGGTTGGCCGGGGAGCAGCGATCGCTGCTCGGGAACTGGCTGGGCATCGGTCAGCGGGTGGTGAGCAATTGCATGGTGCATCACTTGCTTTGTATATTATTATTATTATTATTATTAGCTTCCCTTCCTTTACTGTCCTATTCAACTGCCTTTATCTCAACCCATGCATTTTCTCTCCCCCATCCCATTGGGGAGGGGGAGAGTGAGTGAACAGTTGTGTGGTGTTTAGCTGCCCACCGGGTTAAACCACAACAGTCCTTTTAAGGGAAACCTTGAGTAGTTTGGGCAGTTTATCAAAACATTCCCTAAACAACACCACTCAGGGAATAGAAACAGGAACTGCAAAACATTATAGAACTGTTAAAATAAAGGAAATTTTTCTTCCTTAGCCTGAATGGGTTTTCCTGGACTGAATATGAAGGACTGGCTGAGAATAATGGTAATGCAAAGGGTTCTCAAAGACCCTAAGAATCCTTTATGACAGTGATGGAAAACCTACACAGTGCTGTCACACTGCAGTCTCCCCTACACTCTCCACTACCGAATATAAAAATACCTGAACATCATCATGGTATCACAGGTATTTACAAACACTCTCATACGTGTTTTGGGAATGCTTCATCACTTGATCAAATATTTTCATTAAACAACAGCAACACCTTATATTGCATACATGTTACAAGTTACTGAAAAAGCATGTTTTAAAAAAAGACTTGGAGTAGTTTACTGAAACTTAATTTGAGTTTGTTCCTCTGCCTGTAAAGGCACATTTGTTCTCTACATCCAGCTGCAGAGGTCTCAAAACACTCACAAATACTTTTCAAAAACCTTAGAGTTCCTCTACCAAAACTACCACGTTTTGAAGATTCTGGTATCTGCTAGGCAGGGAAAGCTCAGCTGGAGAAATCAAACACATGAAAAGCGAGGCTGAACCACATCTCCAGATGCACACACATGCTGCATGCGAAGGCAGTGTCCTGAGACAAGGCCCTGCGCAGAGCCTTGGCACACCTTGTCTTTATCTGAATACTGGATTGCAGGCTCTGCTTTTTACAGATACAAACAAACAACGTCTTCGGGGGGGGAAAAAAAAAAATTATACTTACTGGGAGAGTTACTTTCTTCAAGTGGCATTCCTTTTGCAGTAGTTCATAAACGTATTTAGTAATGATCTGGAAGGGGGGAAAAAAAAAATAAAAAGAAATGCAAACAGACCTTAAACCACATACAGTAATGATATATCCAGGCAGACAACTTAAAGGATAGCTGGTTGAACTTGTATATGTTTTGCCACTTATCTGAATTCTTTACTATACCACTAATTATAGAACTCTGAGCTTTACACAAAACGGTTCTCTCTGTTCCTAAGAAAAGGCTGCTTGCCATTATAAACAAATTGTAACTGTACCTGTAAATCCATCACGTGCTGCTGTGTGAATAATTATGTGCCTCAAAACTAAGGATTATAACCAATTAATATATACTCAGGGGTACAATAAAGGATCTCTTTGGCAAAGAAATACTTTAAAAGCATTTTTTCCATAAGCAGGACTCCTGAAACCCTCTCCCGTGCAGGTTCACTTCATGAGCTACATGGAGAGCAGGTCTTTAGTCACCCTCAGCACAAGTTGCCTTGCCATTTCTATTCACTGAACAGGGGAGGGATGGGTCAAAGGTTTCTAAATAGAAGAAAAACCCTGACTGATTCCCCACTACGGGGGAGTTTAAGTCTCTTGTCTCCATGTAGAAATAAAATTGAAATTTTAGACCTGAAACAAAAGGTATTATTTCAAAGAGCAACCAAAAAAATCAACCTAGTCACAACGAAAGACTTGCCATCTCAAATGTAACAAAGTTGTTCACACTTCAAAGGCTTGCCTAATTACCTAGGGAAATTTTTTTTCACCTTTACATATTCTAAGAAAAATGGAGATGCAGATGTAAGAACTTTCTAACTACCATTAATGTGGGAATTAAGCTCAGGAACAAACTAAAGTGCTTTGTCCATATGGGGCTGTAAAAACAGTTTGGAAGTAACTGCCTGTATTTCACTGGCTACAGGAGTTAAAAAAGAAAATTTAAAAAAAAAGGCAAATTAAAGAGGGAAAAAAGTCCTCATTAAGAGCCCCAAATGGTGCTTGCCTTCCCTTTAAAGCTGGGGAAACTATGTTTAAATTCCAGACAGGACAAGATCTAAGCACCAAAATATTAATTCAAGAATATCTGGGTACAAACCCAGCTGGTATTCTTTAGCCCAACCCCTCAAGGCCACAACTACAGCCATCTGAACCCACAGAATATCAAGCCACAACAGAAACATCACTATAACAAAGCTCTCAAGTGATGGCATCTTAACAACACACTATGAACTGAGCAAATAGGAGCCAGGGTATCATAAACTTCAATTTTAATTTTCCAAATGCACAATTACCAAATAAAGTTTCAATGAAGTCCAAAAGTTTTCATTATGTACATGTGAGCAAACACAATATGCAAACGTTTGGAACACATTTGAACAAATTAGAGGTACTGATGAAAGCTAATTAAAAATGTTGGCACACGCCCCTCCCTTCCTTTCACAAAACCCCAAAATCTCTATTAGGATTATGTGAATTTTTTGCTACCCTGCTCAAATATTGTTTATTGATAGAATTATGTTCAAAAAACTTCATGGTTTTGAAGAAAATCAGTCTTACTGAACATTACTATCTACAGGGAAACTGCATTTGGAAAAGGAATTTAGCTGTGAGCGATGAGTTGATTTAAGACATGTTTATCCCCAAAGCAGTATGTTAGGAACATGCATACAGTGTAATTTTACCTTCAGGGCCAAACTTTTTATGGTTCACCGAAATCAGCTTCGGTGTAATGCCAACAAGTAAAGCAGTTAAGTTCCTGCAGTCTCAGATGCTGATGTTGTACAGACATTAAAATAAGTATAATGATAATATGGCCTTGAACACAGAAATTTTATTTTTCACTCTAATCCAGGTATCCACTGTCAAAAACACTTGGAAGAAAAAAAAATTGCTATGAAGAAAATATATTTTAGACACCACTTGCAAAAATCTACCCTTTTTTGCAGCTACGTGTTTGTATCTATTTCTTCTATTCTCTCTGTGATGTCTTCAGGGCAGAAGTAAACCTTTACTCATTTTTTCCACAGCCTGGCTCAACGGGGCTCTGATCCTAACTGGCTTTTTATGCACTACTCTAATATAACAAATAGTGATACCAGCCTTAAAAATGGGACTGTTAAAACAGTACAGTGCTCTGGTATAGCAAAGACTTAACCTAATTAATGCTTTTAATAAGAGTAAACATGAAGAAGGATATAGTAGGTTGGAGTCACGGATGCAAAGTGTGAGATTATGATCCTCAGGCAGCTCAGCACCTGGATAGTCTCCACAGCCCCAAACAGACTTGAGGAAAAACTGTCATAAACTGGCCCAGTACATATAAAACCACAAGAGGGGTTTTTTTGGCAGCAGCAGATCAACACATTCAGGGATATCCTAGCAATGGCTGGTACGCTGTCAGCTTTAAAAGATGGAAGGTAATACACCGCATTTCTTGAAGTAGCATCAAAGCCCCAAATTTCCCAGATTTGAAAACATCATCATAATGGCCAGGTTTCCCACACTTAGCATGGCTGTGCCTGGAAAATCTAGCAAAATCCCATCCTACCTAGGAATATGGCTGCAAGTAATGAAAATGCTATAAATCCAACATTACTTTTGGAATTTCATGCTTTTAATTACTTCTTGTGATTTTATGTCTGATCTGTAATTTTGAAAAATAACTTTTAAAATATCTTTTCTATAGGCATTAAAAGGAGAAGGGAACTGTGCTATATTATTTATATAGCACTAGTTAGACTTACTATTACAAAGCTATACAATTTAAATAGCCAGAACTTCTTTAAGTAGTAGTATTAGCTTGTGCATGCTGGTATTTTATCTTTTAAGATCTGAAAACTGTTGTAGGACGTTGAAAAATGTCTTGTGACTTCTTGCATGAGACGGTGAGTATGGTTACACTCTATGAACTCTCCTGGACTAATCATAGGTCATATGGTTGCTCATGACTGCAGGTATTTATTGAGAGAGGCTGTTCAATCCAGTCCAGCATTAATAACTCATTTGGAACTATCAAGCAACAAATTGTCCAGCACAAGCCACTCTCAAGGCAAACTGTAACACTTGTTAGAGAGCCCTGCTCTTGTTATTTGTACTAACCTGGGATATTTATGCTTTTTCTTAGGCTCTTGGAACTCATAAGGTGTGCCAACACCGTAAGCAGTACGCTGCATTGTAATTCAAGGTAATAAGGTTGCTGGTGAGCAGGCAGCAACATGCCTGAGAAGGTAAAGGAAAAAGAACTAATAGTAAGGCTTGCCCAAAACATAAGCCTGAGGATCTTGTGCCGTAACTGAAGTCACAGCTTGTCTTACTTTTGTTGGACTAGAAAAATTCCCAGAATGAAGGCAGGCTGATGAGAGCAGGGACCAAGGCTGAGTGGAACGTGTCCTGAACAGTAAAAACAGTGGATTATCCTGGGCGTATTAAAAACACTAATACTTAATCTCTGCTACCATTTCCTTGTTGCAGTTTTCCTTCATCTACTGTGGACGAGGCTGAGAGCAGTAATACATATGGTTCAGGACAGGAGCCAAACTTCAGTGCTCACAACTGCTCTTCTGAGGAGCTTACAACAGTCAGTCTTCTGACTTATGTTGGATATAATAGTGTGAATACCTCCAGAAGTATCTTTTCAAAGTGCTAGTCACCCCAAATATGACATCTGCAAAGTTCAGAAGTCTTATGGATAATTGGGGGATAGACCTATGTCATGAATAGTGATCCTTCATATGGATCCAGAACATAACTTACTTCAATTACAGAGAAATTAAATTTGATGACTTGGTTGGACAGCAAAAAGGATAGAGACAGACAAGATCACAGAAAGGAAAAAGAAACACATTATCTCATGACAGAGCTGAGATTTTACCCTTTTATTGCTAAATATTCTGCACAATGGTGGCCAAGACTATAATGCTGCATGTAGTCTGCAGAACAAAACTGAAAGTCCAGGTGGAAACATAGCTCTCGTACACAGAACTCTAGTATTAATTGGTAAGGCCCTGGTTTCATATGACTTCTGTTCTTTTAAGATTATATTGTTCATATAGAGGACTTTCTTCAGGACTGTTTTCAATTACCAAAAAGCATTGGAAAATTCTGTTAGCAACATAATTTGTAAAATCTTTGCAATACACCATCCTGACACTACGTGATCAAAAGATCAATACCTGCATAGAACTATATGAAAAGAGAAATTAAAGACTAAGAGCCATTGAGACCAACGTGTTTAAAGTTACAAAGATCCTGAGGGTACTGAAGCCTAAACATGATTGTAAGTGGAGACAAATACCAAAAAGACTCCAATACACTAAGTATCAGAGGTCTTTAAACAGCAAGTCTGGAAAAAAGGACAACCAAAGCATACCCACAAAGCAAGCAGGCAACTCCAAAATAACTCAGTTTAAAATAATATACCCCCTTTTTAAGTCTGTAAGAAACTAAAAGAAGCCTTATAACATGTGTGAAAAACATCAAGAAACAGCCTGGCACACGTGAGGAAGGGCAGAACTGCAGCTCACCCACTGGTGAACTTTTGCATAACAGAGATAGCCAGGTATACAGACAACATCACAACTCAACAACTTGTTTCATAACACCTACATCCTAATCCAGAGGAGCTGCTTCAGTACATACCACATCAAAAACCATGCTGGGACGCAGTGAAGTGCACTGAGCCCTGCTCATCGAGCCCCCTCCCTGCTGTGCTTTACAATCCAAGTCCTCTGAATTCTCTTTTTTTCCCCCTGAGCATGCTCCCACTTTCAAAACCAACCTTGGGTAACTCTATCCACCACCAGACTACATATATGAACAGAACAGCAAACCCGCTACAGATAAAAAAAAGAAAAAGTAAACTACTCTAACTTGCAAAACGTTTTCTCAAGAGTGAATTCTCTGCTAAAAACGTATTAAAGAAATGGCACAGTCCTGTGTGTTTTCTGGCCTTTCGCTTCCAAACTGGCACCTATCAGTAGTCACTGGAAATCATTACCACACAACGAATGTTCATGGATTCACGACAGATGTGA